ATTCGGAGCTACTTCTGGCTTCTTCATCAGGTGAAAGACATTATTAACAGTACAATTTAATAGCAATATCCCTTTGTGCATCACAATTTCAACCATGGATCCCCAACATCATCAACATGTTATATTGATTAAAGTGATAACTCACTAGTCTTAATTAGGACATTTACATTAAATTCATCATCATCATCATCATCATCATTACCATCTCCACCCTAATCATCATCATCATCATCATCATCATCATCATCTCCACCCTAATCATCATCATCATCATCGTCGTCATCATTACCACCTCCACCTTAATCCTCGTCATCATCATCATCATAATCATCATCACCATTACCACCACCATCATCCTAATCATCATCACCATTACCACCACCATCATCATCATCATAATCATCATCACCATTACCACCACCATCATCATCATCATAATCATCATCACCATTACCACCACCACCATCCTAATCATCATCGTCATCATCATCATCATCATCACCACAACCACCCTAATCGTCGTCGTCATCGTCATCATCATTACCACCACCACCCTAATCATCATCGTCATCATCAGTGTCAACATCATCATCATCATCATCATTATCATCACACTTCTAAACAATACATTGATTTGAGTTTTTCATTAACATTTATTCTAATGATCAATGCCTCCCCTTTGATTTCTCTTCAGAATATCTGTCTGTATAATCTGTCTGTATAACCTGCCATGTCAGAGTTAGGAACAACCATTGATACAAACTTTGAGTTAAAACATGTCAATATTCTCAATTTTGTCTTCATTTGGTCATCAATGACAATTTATTATATTTTTATAGAAAATCGGAAAAACAAGAATATGATTTGAGCTAAAATTTATATAAATAGTTAAAAAATATATTTTTTAGAGTTTATAGAAAAACAAAGTAGGTGAAAGAATGTATACAAACTTATTTTGCAAGTAAATGAAAAGTTCAGAAAATATTTCCCGTCAGCCATGATGTCATTTCAACAGATAAACCTGACCATTTCATACACATGACAAATTTCTTGATGGATTTGAACTCCTAACACTACAACACAAAGTGATATTTGAAGGACGCCTTCCATCGAGCCCTGACAGTGACGGCTCAGCCTCCGTACCACAGATCTGTGAGTCCTGGCGGTCCATGGTCGGGGGGGATGAGGGTGTGTGTCTGTGTGTGTGTTACACTGACATTCATCAGTTGCATCAGTTCATAACACCGCCTTGAAGCCTGCGCCAGGGACTTTACTAGGGTTTTAAACTGGATGCCCTTGGCAGGCAAATTGTGAGAAAAATCAATGTTAGTGTTTAATCCTCCATGTACAATGAAGTCAGACGAGAGGTGGTGAGGTGAGGTGAAATTGGGTTTAACGTCGCGTCCAAGATTATTGCACTTATATAGCGACGTGCATGCACGTGTGTGTGTGTGGCTGCTTGTACTAGTCCGGACTGATGCCGATTTATAGTGCTAGCTCACTGAGATACCATGCCGCAGTTTAACATGAATACCCCACTCAGACACAGTATACTGACTCCGAGCCGACCAGTCCTTGTTTTAGCCCCTTAATGCCGAGCGCCAGACAGGGTAACAACAAGTACCATCTTTCAACGTCTTTTGGTATGACGCGGTCAGGGATCGAACCCCGGACCTTCCGCTCTCCGGGCGGACGCTCTACCACTAGACCACGGAGGCGGTTAGTCAGACGAGAGAGTGTCAGGGGTGTAGACACGTGGATACGTTTCCGCCTTATCAATGTCAGAAGAATTCAGATCAGACGAAAAGAAGTAATTAATATTTCATTACAAAAAAAAAGTTTATGAAATTGACATCATTAACTATCCAGCTTATAATATATCTCCATTCCACCCGTGAAGATCAGGGGTAGAATAGGTCTTCAGCAGCCCATGCTTGCTGTAAAAGGCGACTTTGCTTGACGTAGGAGGTGACAAACGGGATGGGGTGGTCAGACTCGCTGATATGGTTGATGCATGTCATTGATCCCAATTGCATTGATTGATGCCCATGGTGTCAATCACTGGATTGTCTGGTCCAGACTCGATTATTTACAGACCGCTGTCATATAGCTGGAATATTGCTGAGTGTGGCGTTAAACAACAAATAAACACTATCTCCATTATATTAAGATATCTATCTTTATTTGGACAGTTTGATTAAATAAAAGGAAGTTAAAAATTCTTTTTTAGAAAAGATAGATGCTCTTATTACAGACCCTTAGACATCCTAAACAATCTATTCAAGGAATCTGTGTTCATTACCTGTGGACGGATGTCATGCACAGTCTAGTAATTAATTTGCCACAGCTGAAGAGGAAATTCTTTATTGAGTGAGTGAGTATTGTTTTACGCCGCGTTTAGCAATATTCCAGCAATATCACGGCAGGGGACACCAGAAATGGGCTTCACACATTGTACCCATGTCAGGAATCGAACCCGGGTCTTCGGCGTGACGAGCAAATGCTTTAACCACTAGGCTACCTGACCGCCCCTTTATTGATGAACAAGTGAGTGAGTGAGTAAGTTTGATTTTACGCCGCTTTTAGCAATATTCCAGCAATATCACGGCGGGGGACACCAGAAATGGGCTTCACACATTGTACCCATGTCGGGAATCGAACCCGGGTCTTCGGCGTGACAGGCAAATGCTTTAACCACCAGGCTACCTGACCGCCCCTTTATTGATGAACAAGAATGAAGTGTGTGTGACTTTGACTTTGACAAGTACATCCCACTTTCTACGTGTTCAAATTGTCACGCATTTCAATGCCTGCTCATGACAGAAAATAACGTCAAACACGAACACGTAGACTTGGCTAAATCTGCCATGCGAATAATTGGGTGTCTTTCAAGGGAGATAACTCCTCATACAAGCCACACACATTATCCTGAGCAGAGCTGGAGCCTGGGAATTTTGTGAAAAATAATTTGTTCCAGAAATTATTTTTGCCATTTTCATTCCTTTCACAGTTTTTACACACACATTATTGTCATTCCAGCTATATGTAGCCTGTCATAACTAACCCAGGACAATCAGTGATTGCTATTATGAGCAAAGACCTGTGTCACTAGGGTTCGATGACGCGCAAACAACAAGTCACACAGCTGGGGGCCTGTTCTAACCCGGAATCAATCCCCAGAGAGAGAGAGTGAGTGAGTGAGCATGGTTTGACGCCGCTTTTAGCAATATTCCAGCAATATCACGGCGGGGGACACCAGAAATGGGCTTCACACATTGTACCCATGTCGGGAATCGAACCCGGGTCTTCGGCGTGACGAGCGAACGCTTTAACCACTAGGCTACCTGACTGCCCCCCGAGAGAGAGTGAGTGAGAGAGTATGGTTTTACGCCGCTTTTAGCAATATTCCAGCAACATCACGGTAGGGGACACCAGAAATGGGCTTCACACATTGTACCCATGTCGGAAATCGAACCCGGGTCTTCGGCGTGACGAGCGAACGCTTTAACCACTAGGCTACCCGACTGCCCCCCAAGAGAGAGTGAGTGAGTGAGTATGGTTTTACACCGCTTTTAGCAATATTCCAGCAATATCACGGCGGGGGTCACCAGAAATGGGCTTCACGCATTGTACCCATGTCGGGAATCGAATCCGGGTCTTCGGCGTGACGAGTGAACGCTTTAACCACTAGGCTACCCCACCACCCCCCCAGAGAGAGTGATACATGTAGGGAGAGGCTGTGGGTCTACCAGACAACAGCACTGCGAGGACCAGTAGTGTTAAAAGAGTGAATGATGAGATGTTTGCCTAGAGAGTCTCCATCTTGGAAACAAACCTTAGAGAAATATTTTCTCAACACTGAAATGTGACTGGAAGCTGTGGGGTGGACAGTGCTGTACAAAGACACTTCAAGTTCTCGAGAAATAGCGAAATAAATAAACCCTAGTTTATTATAATTTATACAGCAATGCCATGGCATCTGTTTTTCCATATAATTTAATAGTCTAGGGGAGACAACCCAGACTGTAAAATTGCTGATAATGCTGTAAGGGGTATTTGTTTTTTATTGTTGCAAGGGACATGTCACATGTTCAGAAATTTGGTGATTTTTCTCAGTCTACTTGAGAAATAGCAATGAAAAATGAATCCTTTTCATCCAAACTATGACAATATTAAGTACATACTACGATGAATGAAATCTTGATGACATGATTTCTAGATCTAACTGCTATGAGCTGATTTCATGCTTAAACATGGGAGAATTCACACAGCAGATTCAACACATGAACATTATTATTCAATTTGATGATTGGGTCACATTCGTAGTTGGATCCAGAGAGTCTGGCTCTTATTTCAAAATCAGAAGCCAAAAGAGGCCAAAAAAGAAAAAAACAAATGTTTCTCATCCTTCGGGGCATTTTAAACCTGAGGGTCTATGCATTCTTTTCTTGGTTTCAAAGTCAGCCATTACAAATTTCCCGCATTTAAGATTTTAGTTTTCAATTAGAGTTATCTATCCTTTACTGTGAGACCGCCATGTTGTATACATTCACGACAGCCCAGGGATAATGTAGCTTTTAATCATTTTGTAAACAGGGCCATGTTCACAAAATGTTGTTTGAAAAAAAGTCTTGTCACAATGTCATTATAAAATCTGGATTTGATGAGAAACTTTTTTGTGTGGCCTTAGTTAAGTTCTTTCACCAATTTCAAGTTACTAGCCTCTCCTCAGAGACCCTGGATCCATTCATAACATTTATAGGATGAATCTAAACTAAACACTGGAAAACCAAGTGAAAATTTATAAAAAGTAAACAAAAAAACTTTCTGGATATTTTTTTATAAAAAACACCAAATTTGTGTTTAACGAGAAATATAAATCAAAGACAATTATTTGTTTCCTTGGTGAACCAGTGGTACTAAAATTCAAAATGGCTGCCATGCAGAGCCATGCACTCACTCGCAGCCATAGTTTGGGATGCACCACTCGACATCGCTACCTCTTGTGATGTGAGGTCTGTTTCAAGTGTGGCAGGCGCATCCATCTCCACCTGCTCTGCAAACCCTCGCTTTACAAGCTCTTCGTTAATATCTATGTCCTGAAACAAAAGCATGGTAGCATTTACAACAGGCACATATAATAGTTAGATAGCATGCAATTTCATCACTGCTAATTCAAAACATCTTCACCCCAAACTCATGAGGTGAGGTGAGGTGAAATTGGGTTTAACGTCGCGTCCAAGATTATTGCACTTATATAGCGACGTGCATGCATGTGTGTGTGTGGCTGCTTGTACTAGTCCGGACTGATGCCGATTGATAGTGCTAGCCCACTGAGATACCATGCCGCAGTTTAACATGAATACCCCACTCAGACACAGTATACTGACTCCGAGCCGACCAGTCCTTGTTTTAGCCCCTTTATGCCGAGCGCCAGACAGGGTAACAACAAGTACCATCTTTGAACATCTTTTGGTATTTGGATTGAACACCGGACCTTCTGCTCTCTGGGCGGACCCTCTACCACTAGACCACGCCCAAACTCATAATCACGGCGAATGTCAGTGTTAGAAATTGCCAAACTGCCCAATAGTCAAAGTATAATAAGGACCAGTAGGACTATAAGTTATCATTATAAGGACTAGTGGACTAAAAACATTAGTTTCTACCGCTGAATCAGGGATTCAAACCCACGATCAAAAGGTTTCTGGCAAGCTAAGGCACAGCTGGGTGTGCAGGTCGACAAATGGTGCTGCCTCAGATACTGGGTCATCTGTGTACAGCTTTAATATTTGAAGATTTGAGACCCGTGAAGATCCGGGTAAGATAGGTCTTCAGCAACCTAAGCCTGCCCATGGCATAAAAGGCGACTATGCTCATCGTAAAAGGCGACTAACGGGATCGGGTGGTCAGGCTCGCTGACTTGGTTGATGCATGTCATCGTATCCCAATTTTGGCTCGATGCTCATGATATCAATCACTGGATTGACTGGTCCAGACTCGATTACTTACATACCATCGTCATATAGCTGGAATTTTGCTGAGTGCGCGTTAAACAACAAAGAAAGAAAGAAAGATTTCACTAATATTTTTTCAAGTATTCATTTATAGTGTTTAATACCGCACTCATCAATATTCCAGCAAAACGACGGCAGCCTGTAAATAATAGTCTGGACCAGACAATCCAGTGATTGATGTAATGGGCAACTTGTCGTTAGGTCCATTGATGACTCACTATCAACCAAGCCACTGAGTCTGACCACCCGATCCATTTGGTCGCATCTTATGACAAAAAAGGTTACTGGGGACTGATTTCAACCTGGAATCCCTGTATGGCATATTGGTTACCGTATTCGACGTAATAAGCGCCCAGGGCGCTCTCAAAATTAGAAATAGGGGGCTCTTACTAGAATATTATTTTGGTGAAAAAAACTGAGTTGAAAGATAAATATCGTTATTTATGCTGAAATATTTATGTACGACAGATATATTTTTCCATAATTCAATTACCCATAATTAAGGGTGCATAAAACACATGAGTGCTTATTATACGCGAATAAATACGTCTTGTGTACATTGATCAATCGGAAGGGGTGCTAATTGGGATTGTTATATCTTAGCAAATGTCACCGTGGGCGCTTATTAGAGCGGGGTGCTTTTTACGTCGAATACGGTATATGAACCTGCTATTTACCTGTGTTCCATTGGTGTCGTAAAGCTGTAAGCAGGGTACCATTTCCGCCCCCCGGGACTCGTACCGGACAGTCCGCGCCACCAGAACTCTCCAGTGGGCACAGTAAGTCAGCTCCTCGAAAACCTCGATAGCTTCCTCACTCCAGTTACCTCCTGATAACAACAAAGTGATCATCATGAATTAAAACCAGAATTAGGACCTGTGTTCTGTGTTGATGTGTGTGGATGTGTGTTCATGCCATCATCAACTGGTTTTGTTTCTGCGATGTCTTTATTTATTTCAGGCATGGGCATGATGCTGTTAATTTGTTTTAACGCCGCACTCAGCAATAATCCAGTCATATGATGGCAGCCTGTTAATAATCGGAGCAGATAATCCAGTGATTGATATCATGAGCATCGACTTTCACAATTGGGATACGATGACATGCATCTACCGTGTCAGTGAGCCTGACCAACCGATCCTGTTAGTCATCTCTTACGACAAGCATGGGTTGCTGAAGACCAATTCTAACTTGCAACTTCAAGGGTCACATTACATGCACAAAAGTCTTGAATTAGACTCTATGCCCCATCTCCGATCACCTCACCTGTCTGCCATAACAGGCGACTATGCTTGTCTAAGGATGCGACTAACGGGATGGGGTGGTCCGGCTCGCTGACTTGGTTGATGCATGTCAATCGATCCTAATTGTGTGTATCGATGGTCATAATATTAATCATTGGATTGTCGGGTCCAGACTCGATTATTTAGAGACAGCCGTCGTATAGCTGGAATATTGCTGAGTGCGGCGATAAACAACCAACCAACCAACCTGTCTGCCTGTGGTGCCTGGAGTTATCTGCCTTTGATCGTACGTACAGAATGCATAATGCAGAAAATGTGGCTTCGCCTTCCACACTTTCCCCATAAACATTTCTTAATTAGTGTAATATTGATGTGTGTTTGTTTTTAAAATAATAAATGAATAAAAAATTATTTTTCTTTCTTATGGGTTACTGCCATGTGCTTCCCGAAAATAAACACAAATATTCTGCCAACCCCCTTACCCCTATTTCTAGGCTTCTTCAAAAATGGTTGAATTATAATGGGCTTGTCAAGTGGTGAGGCCATCTCGGCAGACTCAGAGCTATTTCGCTCAGATGCGTTGCGTATAGATGCAACGAGGGGGGAAATGGAGTTAAAAGGCTCTAGAGAAGATGAGGTAAAATTGATTCAATATTCAATTTTGAAATTTGAAGAATGTCAAAAATATTTTTCATAGGTGGCGAATGGACCTTGAGTCAATTTTTAAAGGGGCGACATATTTTTGGAGCGTAGAAAGTGTACATCGACATAACGAAAAGGAAGCGAAAGAAAGGACTGCAATTCTCTATTACTCTCACCTTTTGGCGTTACATTAGCAAGTTTGCATTCAATAGCTTGGAATGGTAGACTTAGGAAATCAGGTCTGAAAAATAGAACAAATTACAATAAGGCTACAATGAGAATACAATCTAAATATAATACAACTACAAAGGGTGGTGTTTGTGTTTTTAAATGGCTAGAGGTGGGTTGAGGAGAAAACCTTTGCTCTGTTTGAGTACCTGCACATGCACACACACAAACACACACACATGACATACAGACACACACATACATATAAACACACAGAGCCACATACACACAAACACACAGTAGCACACACACTGACACACACAGACACATAAACATACACACACATGACATACAGACAGGAAGACACACACATACACATAAATACACACAGACACACACACATAAACATACACGCATACACAAACACAAACACACATGACATACAGACAAAAAGACACACATACACATAAACACAAACAGACACATACACGCAGACAAACACACATACACACGACATACAGAGATACTCACATACACATAAACACACACAAACACACATACACACACACACACAGACACATACACATGACATACAGAGACACACACATACACATAAACACACACAAACACACATACATAAACATACACGCATACACAAACACAAACACACATGACATACAGACAAAAAGACACACACATACACATAAACACACACATACACGCAGACAAACACACATACACACAACATACAGACACACACATACATATAAACACACAGAGACACATACACACAAACACACAGTAGCACACACACTGACACACACAGACACATAAACATACACACACATGACATACAGACAGGAAGACACACACATACACATAAATACACACAGACACACACACATAAACATACACAAACACAAACACACATGACATACAGACAAAAAGACACACACATAAACACAAACAGACACATACACGCAGACAAACACACATACACACAACATACAGAGATACACACATACACATAAACACACACAAACACACAAACACACAGACACATATACATGACATACAGAGACACACACATACACATAAACACAAACAGACACATACACGCAGACAAACACACATACACACGACATACAGAGATACACACATACACATAAACACACACAGACACATACACACGACATACAGAGATACACACATACACATAAATACACACAAACACACACACATAAACATACACGCATACACAAACACAAACACACATGACATACAGACAAAAAGACACACACATACACATAAACACACACAGACACATACACGCAGACAAACACACATACACACAACATACAGACACACACATACATATAAACACACAGAGACACATACACACAAACACACAGTAGCACACACACTGACACACACAGACACATAAACATACACACACATGACATACAGACAGGAAGACACACACATACACATAAATACACACAGACACACACACATAAACATACACACATACACAAACACAAACACACATGACATACAGACAAAAAGACACACACATACACATAAACACAAACAGACACATACACGCAGACAAACACACATACACACGACATACAGAGATACTCACATACACATAAACACACACAAACACACAGACACATATACATGACATACAGAGACACACACATACACATAAACACAAACAGACACATACACGCAGACAAACACACATACACACGACATACAGAGACACACACATACACACACGACAATACAGACAAAAACACACATAAACCCACAGAGACACATAAACACATATGAACCCACAGATGCAGACACACACACTGACACGCACGCACGCACGCACGCACACAAACACACACCATACACACAAACACACAAACACACTCTTTGTTCTGAGATGATATATCAGTTAGCCACGACAGAAAGTTAACTCGATGCATAGATGTGAGGTGAAATGGGGTTTAACGTCACGTCCAAGATTATTGCACTTATATAGCGACGTGCATGCACGTGTGTGTGTGTGTGTGGCTGCTTGTACTAGTCCGGACTGATGCCGATTTATAGGGCTAGCCTACTGAGATACCATGCCGCAGTTTAACATGAATACCCCACTCAGACACAGTATACTGACTCCGAGCCGACCAGTCCTTGTTTTTAGCCCCTTAATGCCGAGCTCCAGACAGGGTAACAACAAGGACCATCTTTTAACGTCTTTTGGTATGATGCGGTCGGGGATCGAACCCCGGACCTTCCGCTCTCCGGGTGGACGTTTTACCACAAGACCACGGAGGCGGTTTGATGCATAGAAATGGTATCTAATGAGAATGAGTGTAGTAGTCTCTATTAACACATGGGGAAAGTGTGCAGCTCCTTGGCTATGTCAAACAGTATTCGCATGACAACATCTGCAACACATTCAGCTGAGCGTGTACACCTACCGGAGTTGTCTCAGCTGGTCTCGAGCCACCCAGCAGTTGTCTCCGTAGTCGACATAATACAGGTCAGCCCGGTCGGCGTCGAACCCGACCACTCGGGCCCGGTACCACGACGGGTCTTGGTCAAAGGGCGCAGCAACCATATCCCCCACAGTGACGTCTGGGATCTGGCAGTCCTGAGTTGGGAGAGATAAACTGGACTGAGAGGGATGAAGCTTTGTGTCAGTGATGACATGTACGACAGTCACAGCAGATTGGTGAGTGAGTGAGTGAGTGAGTGAGTGGGAGTGAGAGGCAGGTTGAGTGAGTGAGTGGCAGGGTGAGTGAGTGAGTGGCAGGGTGAGTGAGTGAGTGGCAGGGTGAGTGAGTGAGTGAGTGGCAGGGTGAGTGGCAGGGTGAGTGAGTGAGTGGCAGGGTAAGTGAGTGAGTGGCAGGGTGAGTGAGTGAGTGAGTGAAAGGCAGAGTGAGTGAGTGGCAGGGTGAGTGAGTGGCAGGGTGAGTGAGTGAGTGAGTGGCAGGGTGAGTGAGTGAGTGAGTGAGTGGCAGGGTGAGTGAGTGAGTGAGTGAGTGGCAGGGTGAGTGAGTGAGTGAGTGAGTGAGTGAGTGGCAGGGTGAGTGAGTGAGTGAGTGAGTGAGTGGCAGGGTGTGGCAGGGTGGGTGAGTGAGAGGCAGGGTGAGTGAGTGAGTGAGTGAGTGAGAGGCAGGGTGAGTGAGTGAGTGAGTGAGTGGCAGGGTGAGTGAGTGAGTGAGTGAGTGAGTGGCAGGGTGTGGCAGGGTGGGTGAGTGAGAGGCAGGGTGAGTGAGTGAGTGAGTGAGTGAGAGGCAGGGTGAGTGAGTGAGTGAGTGAGAGGCAGGGTGAGTGAGTGAGTGGCAGGGTGAGTGTGTGGATGGTAGGATGGGTGAGGGAGTGGATGGTTGTTTGTGGTCAAACCAACATTCATAGGTTTCTGGAACACAGTCTCTGTACAGAGTATTAGAGCACCTAAGATGACTAGGGCTGCCTAAAGATTTGAGCAGTGAGTGTATCAATCTCAGTCCTACAATCTTTCACTTATACATCTTCAGTCTGCATCATATGGAACAAGATCTGAAGCAGGTACAGACAGCACAAATCCTGGCACATCGGGTATGAACTCATACTAGTACAGCCAGGAATAAACCAAGTCACATCTGACCCAAAATCCCATGACCAAAGTCACTCTCCATCTGCGAGAGATGCCAAGGCACCAAGAGTTACCTCCCCTACACTACTAACCTACAGATTCTGCACCAAGTCAGAATCAGTTGTTCCTCAGTTGTTTGGGAAGAGAGCCTTCAGTGCAGATTGAGACATCAGGTAACAGTGATTGGATAATTATTGTGTAAGATTTTTATGTTTTTTAAATGTACATCCATCCAGTAATTAAAACTGATCATGTTTTTATTTATTTGGAGTTGTCTTTTGTAAGATGATGACTTATGCTGAATGTGACCACATATTGTTTTAAGCAAGTGACAATTCGTGAGGAACTGGGGGTTCCCTGGTTCACACACCCTCTACCCCCCTATACCCTGGTTCAGCTCCCCCCTATACCCTGGTTCAGCTCCCTCTCCCCCTATACCCTGGTTCAGCTCCCCACTCCCCCCTATACCCTGGTTCAGCTCCCCCTCCCCCCCTATACCCTGGTTCAGCTCTCCCCTATACCCTGGTTCAGCTCCCCACTCCCCCCCTATACCCTGGTTCAGCTCCCCCCTCCCCCTATACCCTGGTTCAGCTCCCCCCTCCCCCTATACCCTGGTTCAGCTCCCCCCTATACCCTGGTTCAGCTCCCCACTCCCCCCTATACCCTGGTTCAGCTCCCCCCTCCCCCTATACCCTGGTTCAACTCCCCCCTCCCCCCTATACCCTGGTTCAGCTCCCCCCTCCCCACTATACCCTGGTTCAACTCCCCCCTCCCCCCTATACCCTGGTTCAGCTCCCCCCTCCCCCTATACCCTGGTTCAGCTCCCCACTCCCCCCTATACCCTGGTTCAGCTCCCCTCTCCCCCTATACCCTGGTTCAACTCCCCCCTCCCCCTATACCCTGGTTCAGCTCCCCCTATACCCTGGTTCAGCTCCCCCCTATACCCTGGTTCAGCTCCCCCCTATACCCTGGTTCAGCTCCCCCTCCCCCTATACCCTGTTTCAGCTCCCCCTCCCCCTATAACCTGGTTCAGCTCTCCCCCTCACCCCTTTATCCTGGTTCAGCTCCCCCCTCCCCCTATACCCTGCTTCAGCTCCCCCTATACCCTGCTTCAGCTCCCCCTATACCCTGCTTCAGCTCCCCCATACCCTGGTTCAGCTCCCCCTCCCCCTATACCCTGCTTCAGCTCCCCCTATACCCTGGTTCAGCTCCCCCTCCCCCCTTTACCCTGGTTCAGCTCCTCCTCCCCTTATACCCTGGTTCAGCTCCCCCTATACCCTGCTTCAGCTCCCCCTATACCCTGCTTCAGCTCCCCACTCCCCCCTATACCCTGCTTCTGCTCCCGACTCCCCCCTATACCCTGCTTCAGCTCCCCCTCCCCCTATACCCTGGTTCAGCTCCCCCTCCCCCCCTATACCCTGCTTCAGCTCCCCCTATACCCTGCTTCAGCTCCCCACTCCCCCCTATATCCTGCTTCAGCTCCCCCCTATACCCTGCTTCAGCTCCCCCCTTCCCCCTATACCCTGCTTCAGCTCCCCACTCCCCCCTATAACCTGCTTCAGCTCCCCCCTATACCCTGCTTCAGCTCCCCCACCCCCCACATACCCTGGTTCAGCTCCCCCTTCCCTCTATACCCTAGTTCAGCTCCCCCCCTCCCCCCTATACCCTGCTTCAGCTCCCCCCTATACCCTGCTTCAGCTCCCCCACTCCCCCACATACCCTTGCTCAGCTCACCCTCCCCCCCCCCTTATACCCTGGTTCAGCTCCCCCCACGTACCCTGGTTGCCTCGTCCGTGGTGTAGAATCGTGTCATGTCCTCGGTGACTCGGTCCAGCTGTAGCGCGGTGGAGCTGAGGATCTGGATCCAGAAGTGGCCGGGGTTCTCCACCGCCGACACGTACACCTCCAGGTAGTCCTTCTGGTCTGGCCAATCAGAAGCCTTCTTTGTCTCATCCCACGAAGCCTCTTGTGTCACAACTGAAACAGCAACAACAGCATCCTTACAGGCAACAGTGCTGACTTACCTCACAGAGTCAATTGCTTCCTGCCGCATGGGGAGACTTCTTAACTTGCACAAGTACGGTTCTCACTTTAACAGTGAGTTTGGTTTAACACCATTTTGAGTGTACCTATACTAATCTTCCTAACTTCAAATCTAATGTTTGACTTGAGACCTTTTTCTTTGAAAGTTTAAACACACAAATCAAAAGAGACTTCTTTCAATATGAACCAATCAGATTTCTTCAAATTCGGGATCGATCAATGAAAGTCCTTCCTACCTGCTCCCTGCAGTGTGTGGGCGCTTCCTTCCTCATCCTTGCGTTTCTCTCTGCCTCTCTGATCCTGATTAGCTGCTGACACAGCCTCCTTGGCACGGAACGTTTCTTCCTCCTCTACCTTCTCTCCAATCAGACCCTGTCAATACAAACATCCCCATGGTTACGCTGGTACATTATTCATGTTCACGCTGGTACATTACTCATGTTCACGCTGGTACATGATTCATGTTAACGCTGGTACATTAGTCATGTTTACGCTGGAACATGAGTCATGTTTATGCTGGTACATTATTCATGTTCACGCTGGTACATTAGTCATGTTTACGCTGGTACATTATTCATGTTTATGCTGGTACATTATTCATGTTCATGCTGGTACATTATTCATGTTCACGCTGGTACATTATTCATGTTAACGCTGGTACATTAGTCATGTTTACGCTGGTACATTATTCATGTTTATGCTGGTACATTATTCATGTTCATGCTGGTACATTATTCATGTTCACGCTGGTACATTATTCATGTTAACGCTGGTACATTAGTCATGTTTACGCTGGTACATTAGTCATGTTCACGCTGGTACATTATTCGTGTCCACGCTGGTACATTATTCATGTCCACGCTGGTACATTAGTCATGTTCACGCTGGTACATTAGTCATGTTCACGCTGGTACATTAGTCATGTTCACGCTGGTACATTACTCATGTCCACGCTGGTACATTAGTCATGTTCACGCTGGTACATTAGTCATGTTCACGCTGGTACATTTCTCATGTTCACGCTGGTACATTAGTCATGTTCATGCTGGTACATTAGTCATGTTCACGCTGGTACATTAATCATGTTCAAGCTGGTACATTAGTCATGTTCACGCTGGTACATTATTCATGTTCATGCTGGTACATTATTCATGTTCAAGCTGGTACATTTTTCATGTTCACGCTGGTACATTATTCATGTTCATGCTGGTACATTATTCATGTTCACGCTGGTACATTACTCATGTTCACGCTGGTACAGTACTCATGTTCACGCTGGTACATTATTCATGTTCACGCTGGTACATGATTAACGTTCACGCTGGTACATTATTCATGTTCACGCTGGTACATTATTCATGTTCACGCTGGTACATTATTCATGTTCACGCTGGTACATTAGTCATGTTCACGCTGGTACATTATTCATGTTCACGCTGGTACATTAGTCATGTTCACGCTGGTACATTTCTCATGTTCACGCTGGTACATTAGTCATGTTCACGCTGGTACATTAGTCATGTTCACGCTGGTACATTTCTCATGTTCACGCTGGTACATTAGTCATGTTCATGCTGGTACATTAGTCATGTTCACGCTGGTACATTACTCATGTTCACGCTGGTACATAATTCATGTTCACGCTGCTACATTATTCATGTTCACGCTGGTACATTATTCATGTTCACGCTGGTACATTATTCACCCATTGGGTGAGTGAGTGAGTGAGTGAGTGAGTGAGTGAGTGAGCGTGAGTGAGTGAGTATGGTTTAACGTCGCTTTTAGCAATATTCAAGCAATATCACGGGGGGGTCACCAGAAATGGGCTTCACACATTGTACCGATGTCGGGAATCGAACCCGGGTCTTCGGTGTGACGAGGGAACGCTTTAACCACTAGGCTACCCGACCGCCCCTCACCCATTGGGTGAGTGAGTGAGAGAATGCAGGGATGAGAGCTTTTTTTTCTTCTAAAATACTGAAAGTTATCAGGGGGTCTGTGGGACTATTTGATTAATGCGTAAATTGTAAAGGCAAATAAGATAGCTACGCGATAAATCGTAAGCAACTATGCAGAACAAAGCGTGGTTTGTGTCACAATAAAACATTGACCTATCATGATGTCATTTCTGGAACCCGTGAAGATCCGAGGTAGAATAGGTCTTCAGCAACCCATACTTACTTTTGAAAAGTGGGAGAGATATAACAATCGTTATTGGGAGAAAAGGTACAGTTATATGACTTGAGAATTGTGAGATTATGACCAAACTTAACCCCACTGTACAAAAGATGGATTTGTCTGACATTGCCGCGGTCGGATTCTATCGAGGGAGTCATTATTCAAATACGAGTAAATATTTTTAAAGCGTCTACTTTTGACTAACATCCTTAAAGAGACTACGTAATGCTGATATCTCACATTAGAAATAAATGACTCGTGGTCATTGTTTGTCGTACAATAAAACATTGTAGTGAGAATAAACCACTCTGGGCTGCGTCCCTCATGTTTTATTCTTCTTCCAGTGTTTTATTGTATGATAAACAACTCCCACTCGTCGTTTATTTCTGAAGTATCCCAGAAGTTACCCTTGACATTATGGGATAACTTTCATTCTGAGGATGAGCGAAAAATTCTCATCCCTGTAAATGGCAGTTCACCATCCTGTTGGATTCCAGGTCAAAGAAGGTCCCAAGCAACCAATGTTTGTTGTCACCTAACTCATCAGGTCATTTTTTTGTACCTGTTGAAATCTTAGAGTGAGTGAGTGAGTTGGGTTTAACGCCGTTTTAACCAGTATTCCAGTTATATCACGGCGTGTCAGCTTAATGTGGGAGGAAAGCCCGAAGTGATGCAGGTCTCAGACATTTACCACTTCGGTGAAACCCACGAGCACGGGTATGGTGCTGACAAACCTGGAAACATAATCGGGGCGAACCTGGATTCGAACCCACAATCATAGGTTTCTGGCGGTTTCTAGGAATCCCGGGGCTTTAGAGAACTGGGCCACCCGTGCCCCCGCTGAAATTTTAGAGAAAGTTTGTTTGTTTTTTTAAATCAGTAACTCATTAAGCACGACTTAAACAGAAAACAGAAAAATTATAAAATCGAACGGAGAAAATGTAGCTTGTAATTTGCATCCATTAGACGACAGAGTGTACGTCAGTGTCGTCCTTGTCTGACAAGGTGAACACAGTTCGAGTCTGGTTACAGTTGGAAGTTGGGTCAATAACGTGGGCTCAAGACAAACCTTGGCAAGATCAATTTGTTGCCTTGAGCCTGTTATGGCGACAGTTCGAGGGGCGTCTCTGCCATATGCGTCTTGGGTTCGGTCAATATAGATTTTGGCTTTTGATGCACGAGACATCTGCCTGATGTTCTCGCCATTTCGTCCTGAAAGAAACAACAAATTCTGGTTTTAAATACATGTTCGAATAACTATCCACAAATTTAACAGAAGAAGTCATGTTTGCAATTGTGAAAGATGGTGATTAGTTCTGATAGAGTTATTCCCCTTATACCACTAAAACAGATTTCAGAAGAAAACAATCCTAAGGACAAATAATACTGATGCAGTTCTTAATAATAATAATAATAATAATCATATTGACGATAATGATGATGATGATGATGGTAATGATGATAATAATAATAATAATGGCTCACTAATACCCCCGACCGGCCTAGTGTGTCAGTAGTTTCAAATTAAATAATGGATAGGGTTAGGGTTTGAAAAATTCATAAAAAAATAGAAAATTAATAAAAACAATTTTTTTCTTTTGACTGCACCCCTCCATATGACACAGATTATATGTACTAAGTTTGAGATGAATCCACTGAATAGTTTAAGAGAAATTGTGCAGACAAAGTTTTCGGACAGACAGACGGACAGACGGAACCTTGCTTTAACTATATACTTATAACTATATACTTAAATGTCAGTTAAATGTCAGTTTTATTATTATACCCCCGACCTAGCGGCCCGAAGAGCGGTTCTCTTCCAAACCTAGACCGCCTCCGTGGTCCAGTGGTAGAGTGTCCACCCGGAGAGCGGAAGGTCCGGGGTTCGATCCCCGGACGCGTCATACCAAAAGACGTTAAAAGATGGTACTTGTTGTTACCCTGTCTGGCGCTCAGCATTAAGGGGCTTAAACAAGGACTGGTCGGCTCGGAGTCAGTATACTGTGTCTGAGTGGGGTATTCATGTTCAACTGCGGCATGGTATCTCAGTGAGCTAGCACTATAAATCGGCATCAGTCCAGACTAGTACAAGCAGCCACACACACACATACACGTGCATGCATGTCGCTATATAAGTGCAATAATCTTGGACGCGACGTTAAACCCCATTTCACCTCACCTCACCTGATATGTTTAGGGTTAATTTACTGAATCGACAGAGCTAACAGTACTCTGAATATGTGAGCTCTGACGGTAGCCTGAGACGAGATGCAGAGGCGAGTTATCCCATGATGGTGGTGCTGTCACCTTCGTGTGTGGAACAGTTTCATGAACGTGGTTGCCTGGTGTGAATTGGGATCATCCTAGAATATGCGGCGCCAACTTTTCATGAACATGTGCACATCTGTACCACATGTGTGTCTACCAGTGGTAAATAACAAGCCATTTAAAATCTGCAAATGTCTTCCTTTTTTCATCAGATGTTACTCCTCATACAGTTAACTTATACACTGGACTTCATTAATCAAGATACCTTTTTTTTCTGGTGAAAATAATTAAGACTGATACACAAAAATATTACTGTAACTGTTCGCAAGAATTTCTAAAAGTTTTGCCGAATTCTTAAATTATACACATCATGTGTGCCAAAGATGTCCTGCCTTGTCCTGCCTTGTCCTGCCTTGTCTGATATGGGTTTTATAAAATATGAGAGTGACTTTCAGAACTATTTCAAAACCCCTGCCAGATCAAATTTCTTCCAGCCTAGTACTGATTGTACTCTCATTTTGTATCCCTGGTAATTAAACAAGTTTGTATTTTAATGATTTTTTCTAAAACAATATTCACAATCACTAATACGATGTGTCATCAAGGTTTGATAGATGAGCTAATATTTCTTTATTTTTATATCCTTTTTAACAGCCATACTTAAGAAATGAGGAAAGACTAAAGAAATTGTTTACGTTGGAATTTATCTGATGATTGAGAACTATGTGTTTGACTACTTTTTGCTTGGGGGTCCCAGACCATTACAAGGGCTAATGAGGTGACTATGCTGGTCGTAAGAGGCGACTAACAGGATACGGTGGTCAGGCTCGCTGACTTGGTTGATGCATGTCATCGATCCCAATTACGTGGATCGATTCTCATGATGTCAATCACTGGATTGTCTGGTCCAGACTCGATTATTTTCAGCCTGACGTCATATAGCTGGAATATTGCTGAGTGCGGCGTTATACAACCAACCAACGAACAAGGGCTAATGGTTTCAGAAAAGTTTGGGGGAGTATTCACTAAATATCAACATGAGCAAGTCTATGACCTTGGCCTATTGTATAGAAGTAGTAGTATTAAAGAGTAAAAACATATTGTGAAAAAACATCTTGAGTTGAGGGCTCACTCATATATCTAGAAACATTTTCTCCTGTCGTATGAACAATCTTTATTTGATTACAGTGAGTGAGTAAGTTGGGTTTAACGCCGCTTTTAACAGTATTCCAGTTATATCGCGGCGTGTCAGCCTAATGTGGGAGGAAAGCCCGAAGTGAAGCAGGTCTCAGACGTTTACCACTTCAGTGAAACCCACGAGCACGGGTATGGTGCTGACAAACCTAGAAACGGGATTCGAACCCACAACCATAGGTTTCTGGCGTGCCAAAGGGACGCAACTCTGCACAGCGAATCGCGGCGCCTTAGACGACTGGGCCACCCGTGCCCCCTTATTTGATTATAAGCAACAATACCCTTTTCATAATCATAAGAACCTCCACTACAAGGAGAGTCAATTGTACGATTCTGACTATATGATGAGTATGTGTAGGAATCACTGTCAAATAGTGGTGCTATGAGGTGTTCACGAAAAGGTGACCGTATCCTGCCCAAATGGCACCCATCACAAACACACGCAAAGGCAAGTCAATTGATCACCTGAACAAACACGGGAACGTATAGTATACGTCTATAAGTGGGTGAGTGAGTGAGTTGGGTTTAACGCCGCTTTTAACAGAATTCCAGTTATATCACGGCGTGTCAGCTTAATGTGGGAGGAAAGCTCGAAGTGATGCAGGTCTCATACATTTACCACTTCGGTGAAACCCACGAGCACGGGTATGGTGCTGACAAACCTAGAAACATAATCGGGGCGAACCGGGATTCGAACCCACAATCAAAGGTTTCTGGCGTGCCCAAGGGACGCAACTCTGCACAGAGAATCGCGGCACCTTAGACGACTGGGCCACCCGCGCCCCCCTATAAGTCTATAAGGGATTGCATCGGACATGTTGGCCCCATTTGGAAATGTCCTTCACATGACGACCTGAAGACTGAAAGATCACTGAGGCCTAGAATTTTGTAACCTTGTACAAACAACTTTTGAGAAAGGGTCATATGACACGCTTTGAAAAAGTACTACGTTGATTGTACCTCAAAAGTTGTGAAATGTCGACACCAAAGTCAAAAATATTTTCAGTAATAAAGTTTACTGTATGTAAGTATTCTGCAACTTTCGAAATTGCCATTCCTTAGGGCAATATGTGTCCTTTATCATATGGTATAGCTAAAATGGATAGAATTATCATTAAACCGCTCACATGTTATCAGAAATGAGCGGGCCACTGTAACTTGATAATGCCCTCATATTGATTGACGATGGGCCATTGTCACGCCCGTTGTTAGGTGACGTCATAGGTTAGGGATAGGTGACGTCACGTTCAATAGTGACGTCATCTGGTTTGTTCTTTGACGTTTCCATATTTGTCAAAGTGGGTCAGTGACATTCGTGTTGATTGCAGTAAATGTTTCAAAACCGATATTGTTGTTTCTTTTTATTTTATAACAAATTCCATCCATTTTAGCTATAATAACGGTAACGCTATTTTTCAGGGCATTATCATTTGCAGAAGCCCGCAGCTAATGGAAAACCTCGGGCTTCCGCAAATGATAATGCCCTGAAAAATAGCGTTACCCTTTTAATATGGGGAAATTAAGGAGGAAAGTTCACTCAATCTTGGAGAAAATAGTTGCAAAACAGAACATTTCCAATTGGTGTCGCTTACCTATTATCCTTCCCAGGCAATAGCCCGGTACACGGATCTCTTCTGTGAATATGTCCGGCATTTCTGCGGTTATTCTGCGTATGAGTAGCTCCGCGTGTTGAGCAGCGTCCGAGGTTCCGCGGATCACCACAGTCCGTTCCTCTTCTTTTGTTGTACTCAGTGCGTTCTCCTCCTTGAAGTGCACCTTCGCTCCACTTTCTTCTTGTATCTGGGGACAGAGGGGATTCACCTATACATAGGACACATTCAAATGTCTGGATGTGAAGTATGTGAAGAGGCCTTAGAATCCCCTGAACTCGTTTTGAAGAAGAGAGTTAGTGGCAGGGTGAGTGAGTGGCAGGATGAGTGAGTTAGTGAGTGAGTGAGTGAGTGAGTGAGTGAGTGAATGGCAGGGTGAGTGAGTGAGTGAGTGAGTGAGTGAGTGAGAGTGGCAGGATGAGTGAGTGAGTGAGTAAATGAGTGAGTGAGTGAGAGAGTGGCAGGATGAGTGAGTGAGTGAGTAAATGAGTGAGTGAGTGAGTGAGTGAGTGAGTGAGTGAGTGAGTGAGTGAGTGAGAGAGTGGCAGGGTGAATGAGTGAGTGAGTGAGTGAGTGAGTGGCAGGATGAGTGAGGGAGTGAGTGAGTGAGTGAGTGAGTGAGGGAGTGGCAGGGTGAATGTGTTGTTTAACCCCGCACTCAACAATATTCCAGCTATATGACGGCAGTCTGTAAATAATCGAGTCTGGACGAGACAATCCAGTGATTCACATCATGAGCATCGATCCATTGGGATCGATGACATGCATCAACCAAGTCAGCGAGTCTGACCACCCGATCCCGTTAGCCGCCTGGAGCAGGTGATCATGGATTAACACAATTTAAATTAACACAGTATTTCACTCACATCACATTGCATCAGCCCAGTGTGTGTAGGAGAAAAGCCCAAAGTGATGCATGTCACAGACATTTACAATACCTACAAGCACAGGCACCCATGACAAAAAAAAAATATCATTACAGCAGAAATCTGGGATTTGAACCCACGAGCATACAAATCTGGCAAGAACAAGGGACACAACTCTGCACAGCCAATCACAACCCATCAGACTTGGCCCTCCGTGTAGTGGGAGAGAGCAGTCGGCTTGCACTCAGCCATGTTACCCCGACCTGGCCTGATAGTTAAACATGATTCACCAACACATTTCCGCTGGTTAATTACCTTCCCATCAGTGGTCGGCAGTGAGAAACGGCTTTCTTGTTACAGAAATCATAAACACTGCCAACGATTTGGCTATTCCTGTATAAATAAGATATTCTCGCACTGCTCTGCACTGATTAAAGTCAAACTCACAGACTTGATGAACGGAAACTGTATGAAACAGTAAACAGGTATTTTTGGTGGGCCACTTTATCATGTTTATAAATAGGGATAAATGTTTCATTTCTTGATATCGTCTTGAACATGAAAACCATGTTACACGGAATCAATAACATTGTCGTTGAAAAAAAAACATTCATCAAGAACAAAAAAGCTGTTTGGATATCATTAACATTTTGGTAATTAAAGATGGGTGTAACAGAGATCCAGATAAGCTGCGTATCTACGTAAAATACGCATCAGAAATGCAGAAATACGCAGTAAAATAAAAATAAAATAAAATCCAAGCGTATCAAATACGCAACGAACAATATAGATAAGCTACAAAAATTAAACTTGTGTTTATCATCAAAATATTGTGAAGTAACCCTGCGTATTCGATTAGCAAATCAGTAACTTATTTTGAAATTATAAACAGGCATTCCGTCAACCTTGCCAAACTCCACGATGACAGTTACATCATGATCATTTGCCTGGTGATCACACTTTCCTTTGGAAGTATCGTGGTATTTTTGAGTCCTATAAAGCTCTCGAACCCACACGACACCAGTTTGCAGGGACTAGATAAATAGTGTTTTTAAATATATTTAACTTAAATACCCACATGTGTAAAAACTAGTGGGTAACAGAAATTTGAATACCCAGATAGAATTACTGATACCCAATGATTTTAAAATGCATGGGTAAAATACCCACAACACCAAAAGCTTATCTGGAGCTCTGGTGTAACTAATAAAATTAATTCGAAACTTTAGATATTTATCTAAAGCTGCAGTGCCATTTATTCACCACTAGAGTGAGTGAATGAGTGAGTGTGGATTTACGCCGCTTTTAGCAATATTCCAGCAATATCACGGCGAGGGACACCAGAAATGGGCTTCACACATTGTCTGGATTCGAACCCGAGTCTTCGGCATGACTAGCAAACACTTTAACCACAAGGCTACCCGACCGCCCCTATTCACCACTAGAATCCCTCCTGGGGAAAGAAAAGAACAATCTGACTCTTTAACTGATATGGGTTGGGTTGTATACTCCCCAGGGAGCTGAGAATGAAAATGGACTACACCCTGATCCATTGACTGGTGAATGAACTATTGACATTGTCAAAGTTTTGTGTGCAAAAACATGCCCCCAAAATTTGATAAAGTGTTGATTTTATTTAATTCTGAAATTTGCTACCATTTCAACATGTTTAATCGCACTTATTGTACAACACAGCTGCAAGAATCACAAGAACCATGCCTACTAATAGTGTGAGTATGGTTTTCATGCCACTTTTAGAACTATTCCAAGAAAATCAGGGGCGGTCGGGTAGCCTAGTGGTTAAAGCATTCGCTCGTCACGCCGAAGACCCGGGTTCGAATCCCGACATGGGTACAATGTGTGAAGCCCATTTCTGGTGTCCCCCGCTGTGATATTGCTGGAATATTGCTAAAAGCGGCGTAAAACCAAACTCACTCACTCACTCCAAGAACATCACAGGGACACCAGAAATGGGCTCAACGCATGGAACCCATCTGTGCAATGGCAACCCGGCCACCAGCGCTTCAGCCACAACGCTCACCCACATCAACCCTACCTCAAAGCCACCCTTTCACAATTGGGACGCAATCCTTAGTATCCCAGCAATAATATTCAGAATGATTCAAGACTGAATTTAGCTCTACAGGAAGGAAGGATTCCCAAGTCTATAATCAAGACGACCTAGCTGTTAATGTTATAAGCATCATCCTACGTTTTCAAGCGATGAGAACACACAAGCAGCCATGGTCCTGAGCGTGACCACACATCTAAATCTGTCGCCTCCTTCCACAGCCATTGTCTGTTGTTGTGAAGGATTTGAATGGTGAAACACAACTCACTTTTCCAGGATTTTACCTTGGTCTATCTATTTGTGAGTCCAGTGGGCTAACTTTGGGAGGCCCAGGCATAAACATGGGGGTCAAAGGTAATCACTGCGACCTACTGGCCGGCCACATGTGACATAATACACTTCATTACCTACGAGGGTTTGGTTTGGTTTGTTGTTTAACGCCGCACTCAGCAATATTCCAGCTATATGACGGTGGTCTGTAAATAATCGAGTCTGGACCAGACAATCCAGTGATTTACATCATGAACATCGATCCACGCAATTGGGATACGATGACACGCATCAACCAAGTCAGCGAGCCTGACCACCTGATCCGTTAGTCGCCTTTTACGACAAGCACAGTCGCCTTTTACGGCTAATGGGTTGCTGAAGACCTATTCTACCCTGGATCTTCACGGGTCACCTACGAGGGCAAACATATTGAGGTTCATAAAAATCATACGTGCCCTTGGGTCATATCCCGTCACAAGACAACAATGTATTGTTTCCGTAACTTTGACGACATTGTTGACAACATTCGAATCTTATTGTGACGTGAGGTTGGAATGACGCTACACTAGAAATGATGTCATAGCTGAAGATTGTTGACATCATTCAACAAATTGTGGTTCTGCTGCTCTTGTGACTTGTTGTCCTTATAGGTAAACACTAAAATTTGTCTCTGTTTGTGGATACATCTTCTTCGGTAATAAATAGAACTTTATATTCATGTACATGTCACACTATGTTTACGACGCTTGTGTCATAAACATAGTATGACATGTACACGAATATAATATCCTCTATTTACTTGCAAGTGGTATTGTGATTTTGGTTTGGTTTGGTTTGTTGTTTAACGCCGCACTCAGCAATATTCCAGCTATATGACGGCGGTCTGTAATTAATTGAGTCTGGACCAGACAATCCAGTGATTGACAACATGAGCATCGATCCATGCAGTTGGGACCGAAGACATGCATCAACCAAGTCAGCGAGCCTGACCACCCGATCCCGTTAGTCACCTTTTACGACAAGCATAGTCGCCTTTTACGGCAAGCATGGGTTGCTGAAGACCTATTCTACCCCGGATGTATTGTGACATAGCATAGCACCACTCATGATTTGGAACCTTCTGATAATTATAGATTTCTGGGTTTGATATGAAACTTCAAACTTCAACTTCGAAGCATTATTTATCAGAATAGAGTTTTCACCATGATATTATATGTATGCTATAGAATGCACCAAAGAATAATGCAACCCCTTCCGTCCCACCCCACCAACAACCAACCCCACCCCCAAGAGAGGGATCGGTTGACAACAAATTTATCTCACCGACATTCAATCATGCAGACCCAGAATATACCAAGTAAAACGCATTGATTCAGCCAGTTTGACAGCTAGCAGACGATCAAATGAACCAAGTTACTTCCCTTTACCGAATGGATTCGGATAAACATCAGCTCATTTCAGCCCAACGATATTTATGTGAGAGTTACCTAAGATGTGTTTTCATTGTTTGTTTGTTTGTTTGTTGTTTAATGCCGCACTCAGCAATATTCCAGCTATGTGACGGCGGTCTGTAAAATAATCGAGTCTGACAGACAATCCAGTGATTGACATCATGAGCATCGATCGACGCAATTGGAATCAGTGTTTTGATTGATATTTCAGAAGGGCACGTGGAAATAGTTGCTCACACCTCAACCAATCAGAAGCCAGTATTTTAACGTAATGCGCGATAAATTACGATCTCTCCATGTACCATTTTAAGAATTGTAGAAGATTTATGCACCCAGTAAACCCCTGATCAAGAAATATAATTGTCTGAAAGAGGAAATCAAATGCATACACTTTGGGCGGATACGCAAGTACACGAAAATAAACCCATTAAAAAGGACCTCACACAAAGCAATTTCGAAACACATTTAAATTCATAAATTCATTGTTTATATTAATTGCCTAAAAGCTGTTATTTACCCACTAGAAATGTTT